CCACTCCGGCCTAGGTACCAAAACCCGAAACCCAAAACCCTAAATCCGAATAAACCCTTTTAAATTGAAACATAGACTCTTGAGGGGATCCTTCGTCAAGAAACCCTCAGCATGAGGATACCTGGGCGGTGTGTCATGCATAAGTTCATGGTGGTTTTGAGGGGTACGGTGTTTTGGTGGGTTTCAGGGCCTAGGGTTTCGGGTACTACCCTAAACCCATTACTTGGAGTTTTGGGGTTTCAAGAAACTTAGAGCCGGGCGGGGCAGGGAAAGAATATGAGATTTGACTTCCGTTCACTTCCTAATGGCCTCAGAAGTGTCAGGTTTAGGCTCGCAATTCGGGAATTATGATACCTTAAACATCCTGAAACTATGGCAATATCCCTGAAAATCACTTAAGGTATATTCCTTCAGGGATGTTGTAAGGTCTGGGTATATTGCGGTACTTACTACAGTCTGTGGTGCTAGCCTGGGGGACTTGGAAGTTAGTGGCTGACCCTCCCTCCTCGCCGATCCTTTCTCTAATGTAGGGGCCTGAATAATTACCTATCATATTTTGGGAATTCATGATTATAACTATAACATAATGGGCCCCAAAACCCTATTCCAGTTATTATAAGGCTACTATATTACGTACTTTTCGGAAGAATACAGAAGCTGCTGATCGCTGCAAGGATTTACCCTGCTTAAAGGCTCATGGGACTTAGTAAGTAAGGTTATAAGTAGGTTATAAGTAGGTTATAAGTAGGATAATGCCACTTAGGGGACTTATCACCCCAATTATAACCTACTTACTAAGTCTCATGATCCTTTAAGTAAGGCTCTAAGGACTCATGCCTGTTTGCACAAGACATGGACTTCACGATTCACGAAGCACGCCTGAGCCCACAACCCCTAACCCTACAACCTACCCTAGGGCTCCATCGTAGTTCCTTTTGGGGGTTCTTATCTAGAATCCTATAAGATATTCCCAATAAGGAACTACCATGAAGCCTATGGGTAAACCACAAGACCTGAACCCCACACCTTCGATCCCACCCGGTCGCAGAAACCCTCAGCCCACGAAGCCAGCCCTCAAGCCTTACCACCTTCACTTTGAAGGTTTAGGACTTTTTGGTTTAAGGTTTCAGGGTTTAGGTTTTAAGGGTTTCGGGTTTTTGGGTGCAATGCTGCGTGAATTTTTCTGGCACGCCGACTCACCAAGATATGCAGCGACGAGCAGGTCTCTGGCTGAAGCCGAGCTTTCCAACGGACGACTTGCTCCCAAATTAAAGAAATTTGTATAAGGTAGACTTTACTTAAGCTTTTGGGCTTAGGGTATTTAGAATAGGACTTAGCATAATTAGAGGGTTTAGGCTTTAGGGCTTAGGCCAACTATAGCAAGACTTAGAATGACTGCAAGGTTTAAGCTTTAGGATCTAAGATACTATGGGATTCTTGAGGGGGGGTGGTTCAAGGGGGGAGGGTACTAGGAATCCTTACAGGACTCTAAGGGAACGTTAGGGAGTACAGGGAGAATTAGGGATCACTAGGCTATTTAAATTTACCCCCTCCCTTAACTAGGCCCACTGGGAACAAGTATATACTCCTTTATTAGAGTCCTGTAAGGATTCCTAGTACCCTCCCCCCTTGAACCACCCCCCCTCAAGAATCTAACTATAGGTTTCTGGGTCCGGGGAGTAGGCTCTTTGGCTCTTTGCAGCTAGCCCTAAAACTCCATGTGCCCATCTAGGTTGACCCTTTAAAGCCTCTGAAAAATGTTCGTAAATAGGGTCCTATTAAGCCCAATAAGGCAAAATACAACATATCCCAAAGGCCTACCTAGCCATACAGTAGGTACTTATAGGCCTTAAGGGTCTTCTGGTGCAGGGGGGGTTGGCAGGTTGTGGGGCTTTGGGTTCAGGTAGGCTGTAGGGTTTAGGTCACCGTCGACTGGTGGGGTTGAGGGCTTGGGACATGACTATAGCAGTAACTATAATATAGGGGCCTTAATAATTGGACTAGGGTCGGGGGGGGGGGGGTGAATAATACTATAATCATACAAAGGTCCACCCCCCCAAGAAAAAGGTATAGGTATCTATTGAGGCCCCTGTCTTCTCTATCGCAATACCATAAGGTTTAGGGTTTAGGGTTTAGGGGTTTAGGGTTTAGGGTTTATCCAGGGTTCGGCTGTTGGGGCCAGAGGGAAGGAAGAGGTCCACAGAGGTGTATAGTAAAGGTCTTGAGGCTCCTTGAAAGGAGTCTTTAAGGCTTCCTTTAAGGGGTGCTTTAAGGGTTCCTTTAAGGGATCTAGAGGGTTGAGGGCTATGGTTTCGGGTTTAGGGTGTTAGGGGTTTAGGGTGCTCGGGTGGGGTATGGGCATGGGACTTGACTGCCTAACTCATGCTGTTAATGGTTCAGGGGCTTTTTGGGCTTCAGGGGCTTTATTTAGGGGTCTTAAGGGCTTTACGGGTTTTAGTGATGTAGGGTTCAAGGGTTCTGGGGTTTGGAGGTTTCAGGGTTTAGGGTTTAGGGCCTAGGGTCTAGCACTAGTGCGAGGCAGCTTAAGATGCCAGAAGCAAGGTCCAGAATGTGTGAGACTGGTCCCGCGCCAGCGTCGTTTTTTGAGCTGCCGGGATGTTGCCAGTCGTTCGGGCACATTGGCGGCTTGAAATAATCCAACGAACATGGACGAGTGGACAAACACCTAGCGTTCCTTTGCGATCTAAGTGCTGTGAGTTGATCCGTGTGAACATCCAACACATCGTAATTTCGAGTGCAGCGAAAGTGCCATGGCCGCGCAATTGGGGCCAAATTTTCAAACGAGAAGACGGGGAAACACCGGTTAGGCCTGAAGCATAGCTACGCAGGTGCAAAGTCCAGTATAGAAGCCATGGCTAACTAGAGCTTTTGGCAGCCACAGGATCAGGGGCACGACTGCACAGGTGCCAACCTGCTTCTCATTTTCGCAATCAGCCACCACCCTTCACTCTATGGACAGATTGCCACTCACCGGCTTTGCGCGATAAGACCTTGGGTAGCAAAGATGGGAAATCTCACGTAGACTCTCGGGTTTAGGGTCTAGCGGCTCTAGAGCATAAGCCCCCGAAGGGTTCAGGGTCCAGGGATTCTAAACCATATGTCCCCCATTCCCTAGCCCCAAACCCCAAACTTGCAACTTCGTCCGAAACCAAGCACTAGGCTGAACGTCGAGTCCTTTGCACCCCACACACCAAAGTTTCGATGCCTTCAACGAAGTTCCATGTGGGTAGTTCTCTAAACTGCGGCTCCCTTTCTAGGATATTTCTATAAGGGTGCCGTACTCCTTCGGAAACCCAGAAGGGGACCCTACGGTTGCTGATATAAATCCTGCACTACCCATAACAAGGAATGTACCATACTTCCTATAGTTTAGGGTCCTTAAGGTAATGCAGGATTTGTTTCATCAACAGTATGTGCTGCTTGGAGAACTTCCATTTCCTGTAACATTCCAGCCCTGTCCAGCGATGATCTGCGTAAGTACCCCCCCCCATATATCTAAATCCTACACACCCCAAAACCCTAAAAGCTAAGCCCCGAACCTGAAAACACGAACTGTGACACAAGTCCTACACTCTACAGAGTTTCTTCGTGGCTCCTTCCTATTTAGATACTTCCATTCAAAGGTGTCGTAAAGCTGGTGCTGTCGGTACAACTGTCTAGTGGACTTGTAAAGGTTTCATAGGCGACTGTATGACAAACTGTCTTTGGGGTTCGATGAAGGGGTTCTTGAAAGTAGTCTTGCTTGGTGCCCTTGTATTCCAGGGTTTAACCGTTTAACAAGAGATGCTTCCGAACACTGTACCAACCTGGTAGGCCAAGGTCTCGTTCCAACTAGGTGCATTGCGATCTGTGGACACGCCTCACAAGCCTGACTGGCCTCACTGGAACTGGTTGATATCTGAGGCTCATATACTTTATACTGGCTACTGAAGGCTATAAAATAATTACCCTAAACAGTGCCTAAAGCCTCACGTCCGAAAGCACTATGCCGGCACCCCCCCCTAAACCCTAAACCCTAAACCCCTGACCCGTAAGAAAGTCGCGGCTTGGTATCCGGCGGAGATTGAACGGCCGGGATGCCGACCCCATCGGGGGATCGATCTCCAGGAAGTCTGATTGAGTGTGGTCTTGAGTTTCGGGCATCGGGTTTCGTATGCAGCGCAGTCATATTGTTTATATATATATATATATATATAAAAGCCTTGTGTAGGTAGCCCCATAAAGTTATACTTACGACCCTTTCGGCTCAAACGCAAGGTCAACCGATTTGGCTGGCTGACTGGAACCCTGAATCCAGAAGGCTTACTTACCCCACGAGACTCTAACATCCATCCTAAGCGGGTATTTCGTGGCAGTTGGGGTCTAGGTACGGGGCCCCTGGTCGGGGGATGACACTGACTGAACCCTACACCGAAAAACAACCTTAGCAAGCCGGCACATGCCAAGAAGAAGCCCTAAAACATCATAAGCCCCAAAGCCGCAGCTATTGAACGGACGGGTATCAGCACTTGGGACGAGGGTTACTTGGGCTTTGCCGGACGGGATTTCATGAATTTCTTTAGCGTCTGTTGATCGTAACCCTAAGGCTCAAAATGGTATAGTAAGGTCTTTAGGCCCAAAACCCTTAAAATATGAGTCCTTAGAGTCTAAGAGCCTTAGGGTAAGACGAAGCGTGTAACGATTTGCGTCTGGGTTTTAGAATTTGGGATAGTAAACCCAGAGCTTTGTATGATACATTTTGCATAACTCCGCAAACCTGGTTCCTACGCCAAAAACAAAAACTGCGATCTCCGGACCTCACCGAACAGATACCTAGGACAAGTTACAGTAAAACCCGAAACCCCAAATCCCCAAATTCGAAACCACATCAAAACCTCGACCATAAACTCGAAAACCCTGAAACCCAAACTCGTGAACACGCGATGCCACCCTGAACCCTAAACCCCAGATTTCAGGCCCTGCAAGCACGCGTCCGCACCTCAGAAGAGCTCTGAGTCGCAGTGTCCAGTCCCTCCTGGTTTGGTACTTAGGATTTGAAGCTTAGGGTGTGGGGATCACCCAGACCTGTTACCCAGAGGCCGCAAAGTAGTTCCTTTTTGGGATTACCTTATAGGATTCTATATACGAACCCCAAAAAGGAACTACTTTGGGGCCTATGGGTAAGCTGCTGTTAACTGAAGAAACTTGGGCTCACGTGCTTACTTTCTTAAGGTCGACCGCGGCCTGGGCCGGATTTTTGGCACAATAGGGTTATGTGTTCGGAATCGAGATTTACCCTAACGCTCTAAGGACTCATCTTTTAACGCTTTTGGGCCAAAAAAAAAACATATTATATAAGGCTTTTGGGCTATTTTGAGCCTTAGGGTATGTGTTCGGAATCGAGATAGGGTTTGAGCTTAATTAGGCTTTATGATTTAAGGTTCCATGGGTTGTAGGGATTGTGGTTGCGCATGTTTTTGCATTCCAAGAACGAAAGTTTTCGCGAACCTCCTGGGCAGACTCAATAACAACGTCCCTTCAACTTCAACCCAGAAGATCCCAATCCTTGACCTAAGCCTGAATCCTGCAGCGACAACCCCAAACATTGCATACCATGCATCGAAAATCAGCCGACGGAAGACGCGACGCTTGCAAATAAGGACAAAGACCACCGTGTTTTTCGGAAACCCATCTCTGACAAAAAAAGCATGCCTGTGTAAGGTTTAATCTGTCTGAAGTAGTTTGCGACTTACAGTTTCGGTGCTGTTCCAGTGGATGCGCCCTTGCTTAAACCAGCTGGTTCCCCAAACCGAACGGCAATGTTTGTCTCATGCCCACCTACCTATTCGACTTGATCCATGAAGTCTGAAGGAACAACGGCCGAGTAAGTTTCTTAACGCTTCGTTTCGACTACGAACCTTCGTGCCTGAAACCTAATATAGGGGCCTTGATAATTAGAATAAGGTTTTTTTTTTTGGGGGGGGGGGGGGGGGGGGTATTATACCATAGCCATAATAAGCAACCCCCCCCAAATAGTAATTATAGGTAATTCTTGCGGCCCCTCTAGATTATCGTTATTCTTACTGTAATCATTACTACTGTTACCACTAGCACCATTATTGCTATTACGGCCAGTAAAAAGGTGCAGCGCTTTCCGGGAGACTCATTATTTACCCCAAGGGTCCAAGTACCTTACTGCCTTAGTACCATATACTCTCCAAAATCCTCACCTGCATATCTACTATCCTAAAGCCGAGTACCTAACTATTGGATCTTTTGGACCCTTTGGGGTTAGGTGCGTGCATGACTTCAGTCCTCAGTGGCCGCTAATGTGGGAACTTGGTTAACAAACCCTGGGCCTGTAACCCCAAGATAACAAGATTCATACAAGGAACCCTAATAAATGCCCAAGGTTTCCTAATCACGTTAGCCTGTAGGGACAGGTGCTTCTAGGATAAGGGCGTAAATAATTGCCAACACTATTTGGGTGGGGGGTCCTGTAATTTTCAATAATTAATATAATGGGCCCCAAAACCCAAGTCTAATATAGGGCCCTATAAACAATAGCCAATAATACTTTTTTGGGGGGGTGCCTTGTTAAAAGATGATATAATGGGCCCCACAGCCCTATTCTAATCATTAAGGCCCCTATATTGGGGTCTGTAACCCTTTGTCGATTTCTGTCATGCTGCCAAGTCCGCGAAATCAATCATGCCGCATGCCACGTCGCAGCTTGCTATATGATGTGTCTAGCCAGAGTCAATCCAATCAAAAACTCGATAAATAATTCTGCGTGTCCACGCTTGTTTTGAATTGCCGGCAACAGTGCTTGTTTCATGGACACGTCAAGAGTAGACGTGATTTCTCCGTGCTGTTGATTCAGCGCGTCATGGAAGTCAATGACATATAACAAAACATTTTACCGCAAAGCCTCCAACCTAAACACTCTTCTGGATTCCCGAAGCCCTACACCCAAAAGCCCGTATGACTTAAACTGTAAAACCCCGCACCCTAGACTTACTCCGTGACCCCTCAAGCCAAAGCCTGAGGGCTGTAACACCTATAGACATATATCTCTCCCAGTTAAAACTTACCGAGAATTACACTACACATTAGTAAAATGCGAGTGCCCAATGGTTGGGTGTGTGGGCACTTACGGTAAGCCTCTAAACCCTAAACCCCGACACTCTATATAGGACCCCGTTGCCATCGACGTCTCCGAAGGAGGATGTGTGGGCTTGGTCTTAAAGCTCAGGTTCATGGGGTAAGAAGTCGCGAAGGGGTAAGAAGTCGCGAACTGTGAATTGAAGACTTCTTGACGCGCCCTTTTAAGTTCTTCACAGGGTTCTTTGGGATACTCTGCTGTGTTTTCAAAGGGTTGGGCATTCTTTGAAAACCTTCCGCGTTCGGTGAAGAGGTGCGGGTGCAAGGGTTTAGGGGGTTCAAGGTTCAGTTTAAGGGGTAGGCCTGAGGTGAAATAGAGGAAAAAAACAATTTGAGGAAGGTTCTGGGGAAGCATGAGGCAAAGACGGTACCCTAAGGGTCCAAAGGACCCAATAATTAGATAGTTGGGTTTGGGATAGTAGTTCTGTAGGTTACTATTTTTGAGAGTATAGGATAATTGGGTACTTGGACTCTTTTGGGTATGACATCGCGGCTTTACGGGCCACGGTGTAGGGCTTGAGGGCTCTAGGGCTCAGGTTTTGAGGAATCCTACACTGACAACCGGACTTGCAGGCTAAAACACCGAACCTCGTCCCTCTGAATTAGGAAGGATAGATGAAAGGATCCAGCTTCTGGGCTCCTTTGCAGAATATTGGGAATCCCAAAAAACATTCAGCAAAAGCGCCCCTACGGTTGATGATATAAATCCTGCATTACCTCAAGGACCCTAAACTACGGGAATTATGGTATATTCCTTATTATGGGTAATGCAGGATTTATATCATCAACCGTAAGACTAGCCGCGTGAAGCCGAATGTAGGCGCCTTACTGATTAGAACTGCGTTTCGGTGCAAACAGACTACCTAGGATACCCAGTAACCTAAGAACAAAAAGGCCTCTCTTTTTGGTTTTGGATACTTTTATAAGGAACCTAGGACTACAAAAAGGGAATAAGGGTACTACTGGAGATCCTAGCTACTTGTCATAGGGACCATGCGGGATACTGTTGCTAATGCATACTACAGTTCCAACCGGAAGCGCAAGGCCCTCAACCCACCCTCAACCCTAAATCCTCAAATCTGAACCCCCCAGACCTTCCAATATCCCTTAATTAAGGAATATACCTTAAATTATAGTAGGATCCCTAATATGATTTAGGGTATATTCCTTAATTAAGGGATTTTGGAAGGTCTGGGCCCAACCAAGACCCTATACCCGCAACCCGAAACTTCCCTAAACCCGGAGCCCTCAGCTCTAAACCCCCCCAATTTTTTCTGCCATAGACTGGACACCCCAAAAGGTGACTTTCTGGACCCCCGGGAGGATCTAGAAAGTAGATCCCCTAATTTGGGGCCCTATACTACTAAGGGTACTTTATAGGAACCCCGACTTAGGGATCTACTTTTTGGATCCTCCCGGGGGTCTGGGTTTCTGGACCCCAGCAACTTCGTGAACGCTGCCAGCAATCGAAACTGTCGGGCTCAGGGCGCTAGGGTTAGTGGGTTAATTGCGGTTGATGATCTAAATCCTGCATTACCCATAATAAGGAATATACCATAATTCGCATAGTTTAGGGTCCTTATAAGGTAGTGCAGGATTCATATCATCAACAGTAGTTCCGGGATTTTGGCTTTAGGTTGGCTTCGGGTTTAGGGTTTTATAGGGTTTAGCGGTTTGGGGGTTAGCTGAGAATAATTTCTCCCCAAGCCAGTCTGAAGACCTGAACTTAATCATCCCTAACCATATATTAGAAGGGGCCCCCACCCTGTAATAGTGACCATAAGGACTATATAGGATTATATTAGGGCCCTATTATATTTCTATTATACCACTATTACAGGGTGGGGGCAGCTTCTAAACCATATACAACCTCCCTGAAACCCTACAAAGCGCCTTACAACAAACCATGCCCTCTCCTCCCAAACGGCCCTGCACCAAACCATACACACCACAGGATAAAACCCACTCCCCACATCCCCCGATACAATCATCCTAAATTCGCTTGTTTGTGTCCCAAAAAAGAACCTTTAAACCCCCTTGAAACACTAAAGCCCTAAACCCTATAGATCCCTCATTGGAACCACCCTTAAAGAATCCCTAAACCCCTAAACCCTGTAGATCCCTTTTAAAGGAACCCTTAAAGGAGCCCTTAAAAAGTCCCTAACCCCCCCTCCCCCCCATAAAAAAAAGAACGCGCTCCCAGGTCTCGGGTCCCGAAGAGCTCGAGGAAGATCCGGAGCCGGAAGCACCGGAGGAAGAGGAGCCTCGAGTTGCTGTGTTTTTTGCTCTTTTGGGGTTTATCCGGGTTTGGGGTTTAGGGCTTGGGGTTTCGGGTTTAGGGTTTACGGTTTAGGGGTTTGGGGTTTAGAGTTTAGGGTTACCGTTTGGGGTTTAGGGGGTTTAGAGCCTCGAGCTTTGGGGGCTTTGGGGGGCTTTGGGGGACTTTGGGGGGTTTAGGCTTTGGGGGCTTTGGGGGACTGTAAGGGGCTTTAAGGGTTACGGTTTTAAGGTTTAGGGTGTAGGGGGTTTGGAGTTTGGAGCTTCGGGGGCGTTTAGAGGACTTTATGGGTTTTAGGTGTTTCGGTGCAACAGACAACAGACTAGAACACTACAGAACCACTCAACCGCATTTTTTTTGCAGAGCCCCAGGCCCCACAACCTCCAGAGGAACTTTCTCTTCTGGAGAGCAGGTTGCTGTGCCTAGTTCCAGCTGCTGTGTGTTCGTTAATGGCTCTTTGAGGCTTCTACGTGCGAGTGAGGGTTGCAAAACCATCCTTGAAGGAACCCTTAAAGCCTTAGAAACCCAAAGGGTCCATGTACTCATATAGTATATAGTATACATTGGCCTTAAAGTATATACTCCCTGCATAGGTACATTGGGCCCAAAGTATATGTTATATGGATGGTTGTCAAAATTGTGGTCCCTTTTTGGGGTACCTTAAATAATAGATGCCGTACTATCTTAGGGACCCAAAAAGGGACCATAATTTTGACAACCACCCAAAAGGGAGTTTCCGACAACAGGGGACCCTGATATAGTATCCTGAATAGTTGGATCCTTCTTATAAGGACCCCAAAGTAAGGTACCCCTAATTTTCGGAAACTCCCATGTGGGCACATGGACCCTAAGGGAAACAACCATGGTACGAGCCCGCTACTTAAAGGCTCTTGGGACTTAGTAAGTAAGGTTATAAGTAGTTTACGATTAGGATAACCCCACTTAGGGGACTTATAACCCCAGTTATAACCTACTTACTAAGTCCCATGATCCTTTAAGTAGGTTCTTAGGGTCACCCTGTTTCTGGTATTCAGTCTTACTAGGGGGACCCTAAAGTAAAATGGTCGCAAGGGTACTACTGGGGAACCCAGGTACAAAGTCTACAAGCCCTGAACTAACCCTCACACCTAAACCGCAAAAACCTAAACCCTAAAACTTGAAATCAGAAGCCCTAAACCTGAAACCCTAAACCCTAAACCCTAAAACTTGAAACCCTAAACCCTGAGCCTAAGCCCTAAAACCCTAAACTCTAAACCCTAAAACCGACAGCATGAACACTGAACCCTCAGCCCTAAAACCCTCAACCCCCTAACCCTAAACTCTAAACCTTGAAACTTAAAGCATATACCCCGAACCCTCAACCCTAAAACCCTAAACTTTGAAACTCTAAACCCTTCATAACCCATAAAGCCAAACCCTAATCTCTAAACTCAAATCCTAAAGTCCTAAAGCCCTAAATCCTGAAACAAAACCGTACGAGACCATCTCTGGCCCAGTGACTGGACCCGGACCCGGAACCGCCAGCCGAGGGAGGGCCGCCACCCATGGCTTTTGTGGCCTGTTTAGGGGTTTAGGGTTCAGGAGATTAGGGGTTTAGGGTTATAGGAGTTTAGAAGTTTAGGGTTTTCGGGGTTTAGGGCTGGGTAACGGCTACCCATGGCTTTGCGGCCTCGCAGTCCGAACCGCGCTGTTGAAACTAGAACGTTTCAGGTTAAAACCCTACTTGGAGGGTCGGGGGACTTAGTACACCTAAGGGGATCTATAGGTACTATAGGGGTTCTCTAAAGGGCTCCTTTAAAGGGGTCCATAAGGGTTCTATAAGGAGGGTCGGGGGACTTAGTAAGTAGGTAGTAAGTAGACTGATAAGTACTCTAAAACGGACCCTATTTGGGGTTATGGTCGTTATAAGTCCCTAAAATAACCAGTTACTAAGTCCCCCGACCCTCCAAGTAAGTCCCATGACTCACCAGGGGTTTCCACACCCTGGTCCGGGTGACCCTAAACACTAAACCCCAAACCCTAAACCCCTAAACCCTAAACCCTGAACCCTATAAACCCTGAACCCTAAACCCTCAACACCAGCCTGCTCGGTCTGACGGCCGTTGACGTAGAGGAAGCCCCACACCTCACTGTCACTCCCGAAGGCTCCATGTACCCTTACTTTAAGGCTCTAAAGACTCTTATAGGTTCCTTTTAAAGGGATCTATAAGGGGTCCTTTAAAGGGATCAAAAGGGCTTAAGGCTCTAAGGCCTCATATGTTAAGGATCTTGGGCCTAAAGACCATATTATCTAAGGCTTTTGGGCCATTTTGAGCCTTAGGGATATAGTAGATACTTAAGCCTTAAAGGGGCCCGTATATAGGTACTTTAAGGCCTAAGTATCTACTACATGGGCACATGGAGCCTTAAACCCTAAACCCTTATGATTGATACTCTTAAAGGAAGCCTTAAAGGAACCCCTGCTATGGGTACATGGAGCCTTAGGGACTGTGGGCGACTTGAGATTGTCCTTTATACGGTGGTGGTACAGGGTGTAAACAGGAGCTCCTACAGGTATGAAAGGGTGCTGAAACCAGAGCTGCATAGCTGTTATAGAGTTGCAGGACACTTCTCTGGACGCATGGCGTTTTGGTTCAAGGTGCAAGTTAGCGCTTTAGTTGACAAGAATCTTGAAGACAATTCTTCAGCTTGAAGCGGCTTTTCTGTTATGTTGTTTTGGAAGACGCGGAGATTCAAATCTCCTGTGCCGAGGGCTCGCTTTGTCTGTAATTACAGGAAAGGTCTTGACATCAACGGCGTCCTTCGGAATCTAGTTGTAAACCTCCAGGTAAAGCGGCCAATCCTTGTCCGTCAGCTCCGAGAGATACCCTAAGGCTCGAAATGAAATGGCAAAAAAGCCTCATATAATATGGTCTTTAGGCCCAGTTTGCCTTGAAATACGAGTCCTTAAAGCCTTGGGGTAAGGGTTTAGGGTTTATCTGGATCCTGGTTATTTGGGGTTAAGGTAGGACCCTCAATACCCAGGGATGCTGAGGTCAGGACAGCCAGCAGCAGAAACATAAACAGATGCAGCGGCGACATTCGGCTGTTCAGAGTGAGCCTCGTGAGTGAGGGCTACTTAAAGGATCATGGGACTTAGTAGCTGGGGTTATAAATACGGTAACTGTACTTATAATTACTTATAGCCCCAATTAAGGTACTTATAGCCTTACTTACTAAGTCCCATGATCCTCCAAGTAGGGTACGGTGTACCTAGACCCCGCAAGCACCCTCTAATATACCCCAATAAGGGCTCTATTAAAGGGCATTGGAGGGGTGCTGGTAGGAGTTTGGGCTTCACGCTTTAGCCGGGTTCTTGTTAAAAAGACTTGATTTAAGCTTCCACTGCCATTATCCGGAAACCATATTATCTACTACAGATCCCTATCATGGTAACTTAAGTTATAAGTTTGGGGGTTCAGGCTAGGCTTAATCGGCGGTTTGGCGGCTTTTGTTAAAAGGCTTTGCTTTCATCCTCTGGGGGATGTTGCCCCAAGGGTCCAAAGGATCCAAGAATTGGGTATTCGGGTTTCGGACCGTAGTTATGTAGGTGAGGATTTTGGAGAGCATATGATTGTTAGATACTTGGACCCTTGGGGTTGGGTTCGGGCATGTCGCCGGAGGGAATTTGAACCGAAACTAGACGTTGCAACTCAAAGCATCCTTGCTAATGCCAGGACCAGTCTTGCTACGGTTGTCTGCAGTGGCAAGGTGAATGAGATTGCCGTCCTTGATTGATATTGCCAGTGTTTCTGATGCGGCGTAGCATTTGTCTTCGTCACCTTCGTTTGCCCTACGGCTCAAAATGGCCCAAAGGCCTCATATAATATGGTCTTTAGGAGTCCTCAGAGCCTTAGGGTTTCGGTGTTTACAAGACCCCGGAGTCTCACACTGGTGGTTGTACGATTGGGTTCAAGCCATGACGAACGCAATTGAATAGAGTTCCAACATCATATACATCATCACCGTTGACACGGCGAAGTCCAAGCATACCATCATCTTGAACAGCCAGGAGATCAATCGCATCATTAGTTGCACCAGAACTGCACTCTCACTTTTTTTACTCTGTAACACTTCTTTGCAACATGTATTTCTCGCACCGCGGCGATAACAACTCAAAGCACCTGTGTGCACACAACTCATACAACATGACGATAGCTGTCGCTGGGCTACGTTACATGCGCATCGAAACTGAGGCTTGGGGCACAGATGCTGACCAGAAGTGTCAAGCAGAGTAGTTTTTATGCTACGACCCAAACCATCCAATATCCCTTAATTATAAGGAATACCCTAAATCAGATTGGGGATCCTAGAATGACTTAGGGTATATTCCTTAATCAAGTAAAGGATATTGGAAGGTCTGGAACCCCTTCCAAGGTCAAGGCACCGGGTGACCTCTGCGAGCCTAACCCAAAGCCCTAAACAAAGCAGGGAAAATTAGGGTTTAGGGTTTTGGCTTTAGGGTTTGGGGTTCTTTCAGATCCTGGACCCTGCAGGATTAATTGTTCATGAAACCTTGAAGTGAAGTATGAAGCATATGGTTTGTTGTCAGATTTTCCCTGGCGACAGGGGGGTTTCCGAAAATAGGGGACCCTAATATAGTATCCTAAATAATAGGATCCTTATTATAAGGACCCCCAAATAAGGTGCACCTAATTTTCGGAAACTCCCACAGGCTCTCATACCCCGCTTTCCTCAAGCTCGGAACAAGTTTCGGCTTCTGAGTTCAGAACTGATGACCACCGGGCTGTCTGGCTTTACCCAGGGGCCCCAAAGTAGTTCCTTTTTAGGTAGTATATTAAAGTCCCTAACCAAAAAAGAGGGCACACCCAAAAAGGAACTACTTTGTGGCCCCTGGGTAGTGTCTACCTTAAACCAAATAACTTACCTTTTAAGGACTTGCATAAGGAAATCACGATAAGGAACCCTAAAAAAGTTCGGTATTTGGATTCAAGGTAGCGTGTGTTTAGGAGTGGCTTTTCTGCTGAGCTCTGGGCGTGTCGCTTGTATCAAGATCGCTGATGGTGTGCTGGTTCGAGAGACCCTCCATGATGCTCTGCAGATTGGCGCCTGGCTTGCAGGGCGCCAGTGCCGCTCAAAGACTGGGTTTAGGGTTTAGGGAGCATGGATGGAAAAGACGATTGTGGCAAATAATCTTCGCTTCGTGAATTGCAAAGACGTTTGTGGTGACACAGTTTATCCCTCTGTTACGGCTTTGATCTTCTGATTCTACTGTACGTCATCGCAGGGTTTGTATAATTTAGGATTCGGCTGTGATTGCCGCAAGTTTGCGGCTGCCGGTTGTGCAGTTGTGGCTTCAGGGCTGAAAGCATTCTACACCACACACACCTGAAAGAGGTCTACGGTGTAGGGTGTCGTAGGGCTTATATAAGGCTTTAGGGTTTCGGTTGGCGTGTGAACTTCGTTTCGCATGTCGGCACCAGCAGGCAGGGGTGGGAGGAGCAGCAGGAGTAGGAGCAGGAGTAGGAGTAGAAGTCGGAGTCGGAGTAGGAGTAGCACGAGTAGGAGTAGAACGAGGGGCCCTTTGTCAAGCCGAAGTACAAATTAAACTCAAAGCCCAAAGTGCATAATGTAGGGGCCTTAATAATTAGACTAGGGCTTTAGGGCCCGTTATACTACACTTATAATAGGAACCCCAAAATAGTATTGGTGATTATCTAGGCCCCTGTATTAATGCCACATCTTCGACCCGAAATCCCACGACCGAAACACTGAGCGCTGCACTCTGGGAGCGGATGAACTCGCAAACCTCAGTGTCATTTTTAAATTCAGGGTGTAGGTTACTGTACAGGCGCGTCAGTAATTAGAATAGTGCTTTTTGGCATAGTATATGCTAAATTGCTAGTGGGTCCGACCTCTATATGGTACACGCTTGAAGTAACCCTTACAGAATCCTAGAAAAGAACCCTAACCCTATTCTGTTGATCAAGGCCCGTTTATCAAGCATCCTGGCTTCCGAGCCCTTCCGAGGCAGCTGCACAGTCCCAGGGGCTGGACATCTCCTTGGCTGTGCGGACGGCTTAGGATTCACAGGGTTGAGGGAGGCCAATCCCTAAAACCAGCGGGTTCTGCTTTGGAGCAAAGGTTCAATGCTCGGGGTCGTGTGAAACATATCTAGACTTTGCTAATTGGGTTCACTTTGAGCTGGATGATGCCTGCAGCACAATGTATAGGCCTTAAGAATTAGAATAGAGTGTTGGGGTCTAGTATACTATTACTCTAATGCAGACTAAATAGTATTCTTCTTCTTCTGTTCAGTGCCGTACCCAAAATAGTATTGGTAATTATCTAGGCCCCTATACTACTCTAGGCCCCGGAACACCCCAAAGCATCAAACCCTGCTTCCCAGAGCTCCATCCCCCATCCTAAACGACAGTTGCGGGCTTCTGGCTGCGATGTGAACTGGTACTAGTACTGCTACCAACTGTCGTGGATCTGGTAGTATCGCTTCCACTACTTGTGCGAATGTGTAACACGAGACCTTTCACAATATCAACAATAGCAGCCTTTCCATCAGTGCACAGTATTTAAGCCCAGATGTTCCAATATCCCTTAACACCTCAAATTACAGAAATATCCCCAAGATTATCCACGGCATACTCAGGGGCCCCAAAGTAGTTCCTTTTTGGGTGTGTCTTCTTCTTTGGTTAGGGACTTTAATGTACTACCTAAAAAGGAACTACTTTGGGGCCCCTGGGTATTCCTTACTTTAGGGATTCTGGAAGATGTGGGTTTACTGGACTTTTTGGATTCTGGTGTTCGACATATGCACGCAAACACAATTCCTCTGGGCATTTGGGTAAAGTATCTTCCCTACCTGCGACACGAACAGGGCCAGAAATCGCAAGGAGCTCTCTCTCTCTTTCTCTCTCTCTCTCTCTCTCTCTCTCTCTCTCTCTCTCTCTCTCTCTCTCTCTCTCTCTCTCTCTCGATGACTCCTCACTCTACCTGGAGTCCTTCAGGCTCATGGTTTTGGGATGCATTTTGGTGCGCATTTGGCGGTAAAAGGGTAGCGAGTTTCGTGGCTGGCATCTTTAGAAGCTCGGGTACCGCAAACATCGGTCGTGCATAAGCCTCGCTGGACGATCATGCGACTACGTAACCAAGGTTATACATGCAAATTTGGGTCTATATATCAGCAAGCGAAACTAGAATTGTCGTAATAATTTACCTAGTTAGAAATTAAATCCGTTAAGTAACTTTGCGAACAGCTGACGACTCCTGGGTGCCCGGCGGTCACAGGCTAGCTTATCGACAGGAATCGCGGTTTGATAGTTTGGCCAGTGAGCAGCACTGATAAGCCAAAAAAGCGGCGTCAAATATACCGTGAACCCAAATCCCAAGACCGCAACCATGACGCTCAAACTTCAACCCAAAGCAACTCAGTAGGTTGTTATGCAAGTTATGCAAGTTGTGTTCCGTGTACACATGCACCTGTGAGTCGATGTCAGATTTCCATGCTTAGCTGGCGTCTTCCCCCAGGCAAGGTTGAAATCCTCAATGCCTCAATACAGAAGCAACAAGCCCCCTACACACCCTCAACTTTCTTGAACAAGACGTCCGCAAAGGACACCTCCCGAAAGGTTCATCTTTAAAGCAGCTCTGCTTCCATGTCATGCAAGGCACCTCTTGATCTCCATGGCACCTACTTGCCTTAATGCCTCCTATGAGGCTTTGGCCAGTCGTCGAGCGGCTGCTAGCACTGGCCGTCCTATCTAGACGGACACTGGCGCAGAGGAAAGTTAGATTGAAAGTCTGGATTTGAATTAAACCCTAAACCATGCACAAAATTGAACCCTCAACCCCGTACCCTTAAACCCAAAACCCGGTGTTTGGCTTTGGGAAGAATTGGGAGTCGATTCATGACACTAAGAAACACTGCCTAGATTCTGCGCCCTGAACCCGTCAAGCCTTAACGTTTTAGGATCTACTTCTATAGGGCATGATAGTATCCCCAAGAAGCGTGATGTGCACTCGTTCAGCTAATTACTGAGTAAACCCTAAATTGTCAAACCAATACCTTATAAACACCTCCTCATCATAATGAGGAAAACTTTTACTATGCAGGTATCTAGGCAGCGCTTGTATGTGGGAGCCTGGGTCGCGATTCAGGGATTAGTTAAGGGTTTAGGGTATTGGTAATACTATTCCTCGGCCCGACAGCCCGATCATGAAAGAACCCTAGTCTCCTAGACCTAAGAGTAACCTAGGAATAAAAAGGGTGCCCTTTTTGGTTTAAAGGGGGTTATAAGGGAACCTGAACCCTAAAAAAGGGAATAAGGGCCTACTCCGGGTCCTAGTCTCGGTTGGCCGTTGAAAGCCTCTGACAACATGTAAATAAGATCCTCGTGAGCCCAATAAAGGAAAACATGAAATGCCCTTCACAGGCCTACTTCGTGGTCTCACTCCCCTACTTGGGAATCGCTGGGAGAAGGCTCCGGAGAATCCGCGCCAGTTGCCATGGCAACTTCTTGGCCCTTGACTTGAGCACTGTTATGTGTGAATAGGGAAACTCAACAAATCAATTTAGGATTCGTTTAAGGGCCCTTTCAAGCTGCTTGCAGGTCTCTTGAAAAGCTGCCCAAAGCTCTGGTAATTTAGGGCTTGAGCTTGAGGGTTTAAGGCAGAAACTGGAATAGGTTTTTGGGGTACATCTTACTTACTGCGATTAGACAGTGACTATGGAGGACGATCGTTGCCAACAGCACTGCACACGATAGCAGCCAGTGTCCGTTTCAGTGCAAGTCCCATTCGGGATAGACTTTTTGAAATTGAGATGTGCACCCTTAGGGTCACAGTGAGACCGTGGGCACTGTGTCACGATGGCCGGTAGCTAAACCCTAATATACTAAAACCACATAATGCTGCGCATCTTTATCTTGATCCCCAAACTCCTGAGCGCCTGCAACCCTTGCACCGCTTGAATGCCCCAAGTCTCTGAAGCGTCTACATGATAAACCCACGGTGGAACGGTGAAACGAAGCCCCAACTCTCTGATAATCACTCCATCGTCCTGCATCTGCGGCCGTCCTCAAGTCGGCTTAGAGTTTGAGCGATATGAGGTTCAGGGTTTAGTGGCTCAAATAGGTGCTCGGGCCAATCACCGTCAAGATCGAGTCATCAGTAAATTGAAAGTAAGAAGTGTTTGAGTCTACACCATAAAGCAACCCTATAGCTCAAAACACTAGACTTGCAGCCTCGCAGAGTAGTCTGGAGCCCAAACCACTAAACTTGCAGCGTCCAGCAGAGTAGTCTGGGTCACACGCAAGGCGGGAGCATCGTGCCCAACCGAACTTTTTCCTGGCTTCACTTTTGGTGTTCGTTTCAGGCCTCAGCCCTAAGTGGAGCCTTTATAATTAAGTAGAGCGGGGTTTGTGTGTCTTCGTACTAGTTGTATATGACTACGAGTGTTCATGATCTATGAGACCTATACTATTACATTTCATGCTGGAGTGTGCACTTATCCGTGCGTCAGCCCGCGCCCAAGTCAATGCAGACCATGTCCAGATGAACAGTGTCCACACTTACGGTTCGGGGTATAGAGTGTGGGTCACAGGTAGTTTGCCGTACTCGTTGCTCTGAAATCTTGCTTATGCTGCGAAGATTTCCATTCTAGTCATGCCCAAAACCGCTGAACCCCCAAATCCAAGGCCCCAAACAAGCACCCGACAACAAAAGCTCCCGGACGCAGCTGCTAGACACCTGCTGGACCAAACAGCCAAATCCACACCCCATGCCTTGCTGCCCAAACCTTGGCAAACCTTACCTTTGGTTAGTAGGGAATGGAAGGGGCCTTATAAATAGGGATTACTATAAGGGATCTACAAGGGTACTATAGTATAGGGGCCTTAATTATCCTATAACTTACCTTTGGTTAGTAGGTAATGGAAGAATGGTAGGAATAGTAGTTCTAAGTATACCCCATTCCTTCTTTCCCTACTAACCAAGGGTAAGAAACTTGCCGGCTTCACACAGGACCCTTCCAGATCCACAACACCCCACAGCCTCAGGAAGGTTGAGGGTCTTGGGGCTCTTGGGTTTGAGGATTGCGGGGCTCAACGCTTGAAATAGGGTTTTGGTGTATGTTATACCATAGTTACACTAAGGACCGACATGGTATTGATAAAATTTTTCTGCTTCTATATCAAGTGCTTTGAGTTTTGAGGTTTGGAGATTTGGGCTGCGCCCTCCCTGTTCCGTGATCACAGACCCTCGCGAACCCTTGGTCCGGTGGCTTTGCTTGGATCTGTATGGAGCCCTTTACGGATCGACCCTTCTGGTACTGTATAACCTTCCCAAAGGCTCCATGTACCTTTGTAGTAGACACTTATATAAGCCTTAAAGGGGTCCCTATATAGGTACTTTAAGGCCTCAGTATCCACTATAAAGGTGCATGGAGCCTTTGGGCCTGAATTCGAATTTAATGTGGCTTCTGGCTAGAAACTTCTCCTCGGCCTCGTGCCCCTCGAAAAGTGAGGGAGTTTGGGGCTCCCCCCAAACCTTGACTTGAGGCTCCAAATAGCCCGAAGTAGGTAACATTTAAAGACTCTACGGTTTAGGGTTTACGGTCTATAGGGTGTATACTCCAAAATACTATAACTGTATACTTAAAGCCTAGGGCAAAGCTTGAATCCGAAACTCCAACCCAGAACAGTCGAACCCCAAGCCGTACCCGAAGGCTCCCAAAATGCGCTGCTTGAATAGGGCCCAAAAAGCACATAAGCAAAAATAAGGATAGGGATATCCCATATACATCCCCTTATCATGAAGCCCAATAAGGTAGGGATATCCCTATCAAATGCTTATGCTTGTGTGGTTTTGGGGTCCCCAATTGAAGGCTGTTGGGCTCTTCACGTCTTGATGAACTATGGCAATGCCACCTGGGCCTTCGGCACTAAGCCCTTAAATTACAAAACAAAGCCTAAACCCGTGAACGCTAAAGCCCTCACGGGTTATAATTACCCATAGACTCCATTGTAATTCCTACCGTATAGGATCC